CCCCCAAACAGACAGCCGTTATCTTTTCTCTTCCCCTTTGCTAGCCCCTGTTGCAGAAAACCTACTTCTGAATTCTCTATACAAGAGAAGTAGGGTGAAAAAAAACTATGAAAAGGTATCCCATCTTCTTTTAGAAGTTCAGGTGAATTCCTTCTTGACCTTGGCAGACTACTAGCCTTTCTTAAGCACAAAGGACGATTATCCTTAATTTAGCACATACACCCATAAATATGATTACTCCCAAGGCTATATGGCCCACATCAAAAAAGTCCAGTACCTCCATCATCTTCTGTAGCAAAACAAAAGTGAAACTTGTAGGCTACGTGTATGTAAAAAGGGGTCCTAATTTTTTTATAGGCTAAAAAGCTGAAAAGAGCAAACCGCAAAAGAAAGCAAGCAAATCATGTAATACCTGAAAGTAATCTGTGATGAAGGATCCAAGTTCACTCTTCAGCAGCCGTCTGTAGACAGAAGGAATGCAGCCATGAAGTAACAGCCATTGCTGGTCATTTCTTACAGGTATATCCGCACCTTGCTACCAGTCATACCAAAGTTACATGAGTATATGCAAATGTGTCATTTTGGCCACAGTTAGATTTCTTTTACATTTAGGTATATATTTTACAAATGCTCACAAAGGCTATTCTCAAACTATGAAGGAATGAAACAGTTTCCCTGAAGTCTTCTATAAGCCATACACCTAGAACAAGCAAAAAAACCCACTTACCCCCCTGAATGCACAGAAAGTTGGGGAGACAATTTAAAGTTATTTAGTTTGAAATTCATAATTTTTTCTGCTTTTTGTTTAAACAAAGACGCCTTTCAATTCACTGAAAATAGCATATCTCCCTAATGCTGTACTTCCTTTTCTCTTGGAAGTAGAAGGTGGGAGGATAAGGAGAGGAGCAATGAAGTAAACACACAAGCAGAAGCTGCGGCTTCCCCGTGACTACCGCATTTAAAAAAAAAAAAAAAGGCAAATTTTTATTTAAAAAAAAAAAATAAGGCATATTTTTCAGGAAAGAAATTCTAGAAATTTAACAAGAGGTGTTTTAAATACATGCAGACAGAAGCCACTCTAAACTAGTATTTCTGATAAAAACTGTTGGATTTTAAATCAGGCTGTGATAAAAGTTTTAAATTCTAATACGTATTTATATTTCAAAACTCTGATATAAAAATCAGGATTAAAAAAAACAACTCACAAAGTTCGGAGCATTTGCACTTTCAGCTTTCAGTGACTGTGAGCATAAATTCTGTAGCTGTAATTTCTGCCTAAAATTTAAAAGGTGCCCAACAATTTCCACTGCAAAACATTGCAGTTTTTTGCTGTTATAAGAGTTTTGCTTTTCACCAACATGAAGTAAAATCAAGAGTGCTCAAAAATGGCATTTGAATCAGGGACCATCCAGTTCTCAGGCTGGGTTCTTACTAACAAACTACATCACTTTTTCCTAATCTTTGCTGAAAGTCAATTTTGACAGCAACCTTCCTCCCTAACCATTTTGTAACACTTCTACATTTATTCACATGCCAACATGCCTTTACTCTTTCTCTCTCAGAGCAGTTATATTCACCCCACCCATCCCAAAGCACATTTCTATTTCTATGAGATGGATAAACCAGGTAAGTCTTTGGGGGTCCGTTTGCCAGAAGCTCTTCCACCAGCTTCGGCAGAATCCAGGGGGCTCTCCACCAGCTGATTGACAAGTGCACAGCAGGACTTCATCTCGCGCAGGCTTGCATCCTAGAGACAACCCAAGGGAGGGGTCTCCTCCTAATCATGGCCACATCACCTCCTGCTTCCTGAAATCCCATCTCCCGATGGCATTTCTTACATTTCCTCTTGTTGTGACAACTGACTTTCAGAGCAGTAAAAAAAAAAAAAAAGTATCCAGTGAGATGATATCAAATCACAGCAAGATAAAAACTTGGTGGCAGCAATCCAGAGCAAAATGTTACCACCTGCTCATCTCCTGGTCCTGTCATTATTGTCCTACTTTAAAACTCTCCTGCGTTTCCCACTGTCAAATAACTAAGCGCTGTGCAGAATCTGCGAGTCTCTCAAAGCACTGCATTTGCAAACTTCCACCAAGGAGCTGAATGGAGAACTACAAACAAGGAAAATGCACCAGCTCAACCTAATGGCACACAAGATTTGGCCCTCTGACAGGTCTGGCTTTTTGCCCAGCGCCAAGCTAGAGATTCACCTTGCGCACACAGAGCTAACATTGTGTTGGGAGCTACATCAAGAGTCACAGGTGCAAGGCTGAAGGTGTGCATGCAAACATACAGATGCATGTCCTTTGCTCCTTAGACAGACATTAATGAGCTACTTGAATGTTAAAGTGGCCTATTTAGAGAATGACATTTGGAGATGTAACCAATGCTCAGGGCACCTGCAGGAACATTAATCATGTATTTCAAGGTGAGTGCTTCCTTCCAAGTGCTGCCGAAGAGTGCCTGTCCGTGGAAGAGGGCATTTCCCCTCCCACCATTAGCACTGCTTACAAAGCATACACAGTTCACAAATAATTTCCTGTTCTTCGACCGGCTCTCGACAGTCTAGATCCACTTCAGTAACCAACATGAAGAGAGCATGGTCCAGCCACTGGGGCCAAGCCCAGGCAACACAGCTATTCTGCCCAGCGTACTGCCTCCCCACAAGGGTGGGAAGGAGCACCTGCTTGCACTGGGGAGGGAAAGCAGGCTGCAGCCACCACAGCAGGCAACAGCCTGGCAGACGAGTCACAAAACCCAGAGCCAGTCCCCAAGTCTGCCAACAGTCTGTGGGTTAGGGTATTTCCAAAGTCTTACGACATTTGTTTTTCTTTTCACGTGCAGAAATACTCATCCCATGGAGAATTAAGACTGCTCCAAGTACTTAAACCTAACTTGAGGACTTCTGACCTGAGCACACTAAAATACCATTAAAGCATGAGACACTGCCCTCACTCAGCTCTCAAAAGGAATTGTATTAAACTTTCACCTTTGGGACCAGACCAAGTAGGACAGAGTCTCATGCCTTGCAAGCTGCATTTATTTTTAAAGTAG